ATGAGCATCACGACTCTCTATTAACGATCTAGTATCATGGTTATAGAATATATACCCCCTTGGAATTTTTTGAATCGCCTATAAAATAGCATTTTATAGTTTTACTTTGTAATTTATCTCTATTTTGTGGTGGTATAAGCACATGTGCCCAAGAACCTCAAACTTTCAAGATAGTAATGTTAGGTTTCCTATCTATCCATAATTCATATGGATCAAGCCTATAGTTTTAGTTGGGACACAATTAATAATATACATTGCAGTGTTGAGAGCTTCACCCCAAAAATGAAGTGATAAATTTGAGTGGCTCATCATGGACCTAACCATGTCCATTAGAGTTATATTTTTCTTTTCAGCTGCGCCAATTTGTTGTGGGGAATATGACATGGTTGTTTGGTGAATTATACCATGCTGCTTATAAAATTCGATAAATAAGGCGGAGCAATATTCACCTCCCCTATTTGTTCAAAGAATTTTAATATGTCTACCTAACTTATTTTCTACCTCAGCTTTATATTCTTTAAAACTTTCCAATGCATCTGATTTATTACTAATTAGGTATATATATCCATTACGTGAATAATCGTCTATAAATGTTATAAAATATTCCATACCTCTATGTAGTTTTACATTTAATGGGCGACATATATCAAAGTGAACAATACTAAGTAGTTCACTAGACATTTTCCCTTTAGGGAAAGACTTCTTAGTTAGTTTATCAAAAATACATGGCTCGCATGTTTGAACACAATTTCTCCTAAATTGGGGAGCAAGCCTCTTTTAATCATTTGATTCATTTTGTCTTTATTTATATGTCTTAATCTTAAGTGCCATAAATATGGATCATTCATACACACAAAAACATCAAAAGAGGCATCAGAATAACTAGAAAGAGATGAACTTTCATTAGTATTCGATCAGTACAAATTGTCAATTTTAGTACCATACACCAATGCTTTAGAATGTTTCCCAATGGTGACCTGACCAGACCTGAAACTTATTTCATAACCCTTGTCGTCTAGCCTAGAGACATAAATCATATTGCACCTCAGATTAGGCGCATATAATGTATTAGTCAATAAGAGATTTGTTTCTCCTATTAAACACCGCTTGAAAGTATCGACACTTAGTTACATCACAGTAGGTATCATTTCCCATATAAATCCGCTGGTTACCTGATGCAATATCCTTCAACTCTGTGTATTCGTCCTTGGTCCTTGAGACATGTCTAGTGGAGGTTGAGTCGACCCACTAATTTCTCAGGTTATGGTCGACAACTATTGATTCTAGGACTATACGGATCAAGTCTTTTCTTTTATTTTGATTATTTCGAACATGGTTGCTTTTCTGGTTCCTATTTTAATTTTTCAGCTTAGGACAATTAAACTTGATATGTTCAATTTTCTTACAATAAAAGCATATATTCTCAACCTTATTCTTTTGATTTTTAAAATTTCTTCTATTTCCCTTATACCTATTATTTTTCTAATTATTGAAAGGTTTATTAGGAGCTTAGAAGATGAACTTTGGGCAAAGTGGAGCTCATTGGACTTCTTCCTCATTGTTCTCTTAGCTTCAATACTGAGATGTATGGGAAGATTTAACATATGGTTATCCCTTGTGCAGAATAATTCAATGCAATTACAACATACTCCCAATATGGTAGGAGACTGTTAAGGACAATGGACACTTGCATGCGGTCGAGGACTGGATTTCAAGCTGCAACAAAGTCCTTTACAAGCACTATCATTTTCTTGACATGCTCGGTCACTGAGTCCGATTCTTTCATTCTGCAAGAATTGTATTTTTCTAACAAAATTGTACATGAGTCTTAGAAGTGGTCTCATACTTTTCAGATAGGGCACCCATCATACTTTGAGCTGTGGTGTGATCCTCAAAGACTCTAATTAAATCATCTTCCATAAAGCTCAACATAGTAGTCCTAGCTACTTTGTCATCTTCTAAACATTTTTCAAGTCACCTTCTGGCTTGATCATTGACATCAGGCTCTAAAATTGGTGGTTCTGTTTTTAGGACATAATCTACCTTATCTTGGAAAAGAATATATCTAATTTTTCTTTTCCACATAGAAAAATTGGTCCTATTGAGTTTTTCAAGTTTGGATAGTTCTGACATAACTAGCCTAGATGCCATTTTAAATTTTTAGATAATACCTAAAAGTTCAAAAAAATTAATTTTATTTAAGAAAGGGTTGTCTGCTAGCTAAATCAATAGGTTTGCCGACTCTTAGTGAGCTGCAACCTCAAAGAAAAATTTTCTCAAGTAGTTTATGTTCGCACTGTTGTGATGCAACATAAAATTAATAAAGTAATGCGACAACTACTTTTTGTCAAATCTTGCATAAGAATAATTTTCATAAATATGTAAATGTCTTAGCACAAGAGAGAGTGTGTGCAATGATATTTGATATGTTTCAACAAAAATATGCCATTGCATAATCACAAAAAAAAAAATTGAATTCACAAAATCAAGATCATGAAATTCTCTCATTTTAAGAGACCAAAACATATGATAATTATGCTAAACAATGACAATTATTATGTAAATAGAATATGTAGAAAATTCCCTAAATTATAGACCACAAGTGCATGCAATTGTTATGTACACTTTCACTCAAACTATCCCTAGACCTTAAGATCCGATCGGCTTGAAGTTATGGATATTTTTAACTGTAGGGAAGTTGTTTTTTCGCCATGTCTACAAAGAGGCCAATGACATAGCAAATGGGCTGGCCAAGAGTGGGGTTAATAGCACTCATGTTGTAATTTATGTCTTTTTACCATTGAAATTCTCTCTTTCGAATCTTATAAATAAAATATTGGGAAAATTGTTTAAGACCCCCAAATATGGACTTTCTAGGCACTTTACCTCCGACCCAACTTTTTCTAACATAATTTTTCCTAAAACCAACTTTTTTTGACAAAAATACCCTTCCTTTATATAACAAATTATTTTCGCTGGAGATGGCGGTCCGGTGTTTAAAAGAGACGGTTCGGTGTTTAGAAGAGGCAGTCCGGCTTTTCATTGTGATGGTCCGGGGATTATACTATTGGACAAATAGGTAGTCCGGCGTTTTGAAATAGCAGTCCGGCAATTTGAAGGGGCAACTCGTTATTTTAAAGTGGCGGTACGGCATTTTGAAAGGGATTTCCAGCATTTTAAAGTGGCGGTTCGGCGTTTTGAAGTGAGAAGTCTGGCATTGTACAAGTACGGTATTTTTGTTATGTTTGAGAATGGTATTTTCGTAAAAAAAAATAACTTTTTGTATTGGGGGTATTTGCTAAAAAAGTTGGTTTTAAAGAAAAATATGTTAATAAAAGTTAGACTAATGGTAAAACGGCTAGAAAGTCCATATTTTGAGGTTTTTAAGCAATTTCCCCTAAAATATAGTCATCTTATGAAAAGGGAACAAAGTAGTTAGGACCTACCTTTACTCATTCCCATCAAAGGTCCTCATCGAAGCAAGCCATATATTATTCTTTGAAACACATCAGTATACCTTCTTCTTTTTTCATATTACATGACCAAGATACTCGCTTTTTCTTTTCAATGTGGCCAAATTAAAATATGGAAGTCTTCAATTATTATGCATGTTCAATATCAAAAAATTTCATAAAGCCTAACCACCAATATATACTCACCCGTTGCCAAAAGTTGTCCTCTCTTCCTACCTATCGTATTTGCAGCAGCATTTTATGACGTATTGCATGATATGATGTTTTCAACATCGTGCTAGTCCATACACTCAAAAAAGAATTAAAAAATAAAAAAAATGGTCCGTTGTTCAGAACATTAGATTTTGGGGTAAATAAAAAATAAAAAATGCATGAGTTTTTGAAAAAATACTATTCAGAAAATTGTAAATATCGGACTGGTGTACATCCACGTAAAATTTGCCTAAATTTGTTCTCATCCATAATTACCATATATTTAAATATGTTACGGACGTAATTTTCCGTAATTTAAAAGTCAACAATCCTGTGAGCCTCTTCTCAATTGGGGTTTGGATCTCTCTCTCGGCACACAATTTTAAGGCATTATCTACTCACAACGAGGCTATATTTTTTTTTTGTACAAGTTGTTATTACCCTTGGCCATTAGATTGAGTGGGTTTCATCAAAGTCATTTTGTTCTTGAGCTGGTATCCCATACTTCGGCGAGGGCATATACTATACACTTATTCCCACAGGTATAAAACTAACTTGGGAAGTTTTTTCTGATCCGATATTAGGAACCGACCTAAAAAATAAAAAATTAGATGTTTGAGTTCTATAACACTTATGTCTCACCCCTCAAAAATTCAATCATGACGCATTAGTTTTTTTCAGCCCACAGAGAAAGCAATTATAAATTTCGTTTTATTGAGAATAGCATAAGGTTTGAAGAGGTACCCAAAATTTGGGATTCAAAAGAGTCTCCTAGATTGGCTTTTGCTCAAGGGAATAAATGGGTAGTATGCTCCCTTGGGAGCATGAAATCTTTTAGCGTCGTTCATTTGGAATAATTAAGGTAAGCAATTTCGTGAGCCTCTGCCTTTTCAAGGAAAGACGATGCCCTCACAGATTTGAGAGGAAGGACTGTGCTGACCATAGCAGGATAGTGTTCATTTTTCTCCCAATTGGATTGATGAGAAGCGCTCCCATCCATCCGATTTTTAATGGGATGGATGATGAGAAGCGCTCCCATCCATCCGACATTTTAATGGGATGGTTGAGTGTTGAAGATGCTAAATTTTGTAGTTGAGAAATCCTTAACTGTAGACCCGGACCCGACCCATCGGGTCCAAATGTTGGACCCATACCCACGTGTCCGTGTCAGTTTTACCCGGCAAGTCTGATTCAAGTCTGGGTCCATTGCCATCCTTACCAAAGAAGATATCGGACCAATAATAGACAAAAGGAAAAGTAATACGTGCATCACGGGACGCACTTCGACAATAGCGTTGCGACACACCACATCAATCTCGTAGCGCCACAAAAAGATGAAATAATATGGGTTTCAAATTTTATTAAGAAATCTCATTTTACTTTTTGTTTATTTATATTTTTCCCAATACATGTTCATCAAGGTTTACATTTTAGATCTAATATCCATATTTAAAATGGATTTTAGAGAGAGGAGTCATCTAAATAGGTGAGGCGGGGACTCATAAAACCCATTTCCTAAGCAAAAAGCAAGCCATATTAGTCCATTGCCTATGCCATGAAGGGGCCCATATCATGATGTGGCCTCTATCTTCGCCATCCATTTGGAATAGGATGCCTGCGGCCAGCGGCCACCGTCGGCCAAGCACCACACACGCACGTGCGCGCACAAAAAGGAAACACCATGCCTCAATTTGGCAACTTCGAATAGGTCACAACACTGCATCCCAAGTCCCTGGCTCATCTAACAGTAAGGTCCATCACCATGCAAAAACTTTTATCTGCAAATTGAGAGTGAAAATAAATTTAACCGACAAGTAAGTATGAAATAATTCATGCTGAAAAAAAAAAGCTAAACCTGAAATACACCTAGCAATATAATCCAAAAAGCATAGATGGAGTGGAACAGCCCCAATAATGCAGACAGAAGCGAGTTCCTTTAATAGCTTTTACATTTATAATTTCCCTTCTAAGCTTTTACAGATGGTGAGGAATTATCAAGACCATCAATGAGAAGTGACCCATCATTGATGTCATCCAATCAAGTACCTAATTTATCCGTGCAACCTGCTGAACTTCATTCACATTTCAATTAATGGAACTCTCAGAGCTTGTGGCTGGTCCACAAATATTCTCATATGAATACATTTCGCTGCAGATTTTGATGAGCTGAAGAAGAACTAGAACCACACTCAACTGTTGCTCAAGGAACCAATCTCCTCAAGGGTGTATTGAAGTTGAACAAGGGAAGCTTTAGACCCTCAACTTATTCAACAAATAGTTTCATTTACACTGATAGGGTGTGGAAGCAAATCATAAAACCATGACCACAAGAAGCAACAAGAATTGAATAATGAAAAGAAAGAATTAGGATATGGCAGGCAATACTCGATGTTCGAAACTTCCTTGCCCAGCACTATTCAAGTGGCAGCTGCTGTTGGCTGACTATCTTCACCTGCTCGAGTACGTATGAAGTTAAAAACTCGATGTTTGTCCCTTCACAAGGTGCTCCACAACTCCTCAATTTTGTGCTTGAGAAGCTCTACTTCCTTTGCTAAATCCTCGTCCCTTTGTCTCAATTTCTACAAAGTCCGGAAAAGATTTGCACCAGAGAGAAGTCAAATAACATTAATGGCTTTCAAGATGTTAGTCAAATTCACAATAAATTCCATTGCATCACCTCTCTTTCATGTTCTAAACATGGAAAAGTAAACAAGAATGCTAGGAACTTTACTCTAGTAAGAAATAAATAGCAGTAAGCGCAGGAAGGGAAAGCATATCAAGAGAAGTTTTCTACTATTGAAGCTTAGACATGGACAAGTAACAGCAAGAACACAAGAAATTTCACTATGATAAGCCTTGAATAGCACCAGTAATATTGGTTTTTTTGGTGAGCCATAATAGCAACGATAAAAGGGAAGCATTTCTTGACAAGAAAATTTCCACTTTTAAAGACCTCTTCTTTTGCATCTTCATAATATTTTTATAGCCAACCAGTAAAAAGAGCGCATTACCCATAGAATTTCCAAAATCTTGATTTCCCCGAAATCCACACTCACTTTCAAACTATTACAGCATGCATTTTTCTAGTTCTATTAGAATATACTTTTAAGAGATAATAAATAAGAGGACTGATTTCATGTAACGGTTGTATAGTAGTATAATGCAACCACACCTCTAGAAAACCATGTTTTTGGCATTTGTATGACCCCAAATATTGCACACACATTCTCCTCATCCTCATAATCAATCCTACAAAAAAAAAAATATTCAATTTAAACCCTAGATATGGTCAAAATTAGTACACTCCAACAATGAATCTCGATCGTCCATTTGGTGAATTTCAAGATCTAGGCCTTAACAGACTCAAAATTACTTTTTTTCTTTTTCAGTATTGTTAATCTAATGATGATAACACTATATAAAAATTTCGACAATAAAAAATTCCTTTTGAGGCCTATATCTAACCATCTCATTAAAATGGATGGCTTATATTAATTGAGCAAGAAAAAAACTTTCTTGGGTGTTTTTTCAAAATCTTCTTTTTTGTGATTGTTCTATAGAATAAAAAGAGTGCACATTTAAAAATTTGTATCAAACAAATGTCTTTAAGATGGTTTTTGAAGATGGTTGGATTATACTACCATACAACCGTTGCATGAAATCATTTCTCAATAAATAAGTATGACAAATAATATAGAAAAATGCAGGATTTGTTACAATTTCATATCATTTATATTAAAAATCCCCACTTTATAGAAAATTATTTATTTTAAAGTCCCATTCTTCGTACTCAAAAATGTTTGTACATGCAAATGATTTGATGATGTTGTAAACCTACTTTTTCTCTTTTTGACGAATCCTCTCTCTCTCTCTCTCTCTCAGTAGTAAAAGTTGGAAAGAGAAAAATATGTACTGTTACGGATGTACAAGAATTTTGGGAAGTTGAAATAGTTGGTGCTATAACGAGTTAAAACTGTCCAGCACATAACGGTTCGTTTTATAACCGTCGGGGCCAAGATGAAGATGTTCGAAATGGCCATTATATCATCTATGCTAAGTCCAAGCTAAAAGACTTTAAACTGTCTAGCACATGACAGGTTTAAACAAACTGTCAGGGTCAAGGTATGGACATTTGAGGTAGCCGCAATACGCCACCAACGGCCATACTTGACTGACCCCTTTCATATATAGTCCATGTCTCAAGACTCTAAACTGATCGGTGCATACTCCATACATAGCACATGACTATAAATTGCATGTTACTGGCAAAATATATAGCTACCTAGTATGAATTTCCAAAATCTTGATTTCCCCCAAATCCACACTCACTTTCAAACAATTACAGCAATGCATTTTTCTTGTTCTATTTGTGCATCTGTTTGCTACAGAAAAGTCTCTTTGTTTATTCTTTCATTATGCATCAATTATTTTTTCCATCAACTAATAACCTGAACTTTTTCGGCATGTTATCCCAGTCTGGTTTTGCAGCAAACTGTAACATATGTCCTGACAGGAGACTTAGGGACAGATATGAGGCTCAAAAGAGAAAAGACCAAACATATTTGGCTTCTGAGATTGGAATATCTTTCGACGACTTTCCTGTTGATCTATTTTAAGTTGACGGGCAGCTAAGCTTGAGATAACTCCTCAAGACCATAGTTATCAACAGAAAAACACAGTTCTACATGTGCCGTATTTCTTTATTGAGTTCTATAACATATATAAAATCAGAAACAATGAAATGCACGCAAAAAAAAAAAGCTTCTGAAAGAATAGATTCTGCTAGAGCAAATGCTAAAAAATGGAAACTTGTCAGAAGTTGTACTCTGCTCATGCTGACTGATACAAACAGACTTGTGCAACAAGTGCTCTCACAATGGTTACTTAAAATAAGATCTCCTCAGCAATAAATTCTCATAAATATATCGTAAAAATACATGAATGAATATGGAAAAAGAAAGCAATGGCAATTGCACCAAAGGGAAGAATATCATGAACTAACCTCCAGCTCCATCTTTCGTGTTTGTTCCTTCCGGCAACCTGCAGTGGCTCAAGCTCTAGAGGACGAGGAGGAGAGAACAATGAGAGAAAGGATGGCTAGGGCTTCCAGAGAGAGTAACACCCCATATTTGTTTGTGTGCCAGCAAGCTTTAGGCGAGTTTTAATTGTTGAAGTTTGGCTCCACATGGAAATTAGTATGAAAGAGAGAGAGAGAGAGAAAATGAGACACCAAGTACAAATTAACAATTGTAACAATTACACATTTACAAGTATAATAATTAACTCAAGAAATAATGGAACATACAAAATAATCAATTCAAGAGATCAATTACAAATCTACAATTCTAATAATCAGACAACGATAATTGAACGTAAAAACAACTAACTCCAGACAATGCAATCCCTCAACAAATTCAACAGACCCATTCAAGATGTCTTGGGGACCCCCAAACCGTGTTGTTGGCATGGGAGAGACTTACATTGCAGGGAGTTTTGAGGTCTTCTTTTTCTTGGCGGTAGGCTTGGTCGAGGGAGACCCCTCTTCTTACTACATTTCCCTATTTCTTTCTCACCACCATAAATATCCAAGAAGAAAGAGTGGTTTTGTAGGGTAAATAATCGCCACTACCTAATCTATTACTTGGTAAAAAGGCATGCAGCCTCCCACTACTGAAGCCATAGCTCATAATCTTCTCACTGTTCTCACCGTAGATCAAAAAAATGTGCCCTCCACATACAAGCACTGGCGAGGGGCGCCTATTACTTTTATTCTGCCCACTTTCACTGTCACGCTCATAGCCCAACTCACACAGATCTATGTTGATCATCTCCACCCACTTCTTCTCCGCGATGACTAAAAACCACACGATCAACTTTAAATCTGGCCCTACGGCCACAAGAGAAACATGGCCATTCCAATCCAAGACCGCAACATGGTCAACCCACACCGAGAGTTCTAATCCAGTTTGAAGCTCCGATGGTGCACGTACAACCTCTACAGCCTCTCTGACCATGTCGAAGCCGATCAACCTGCAGTCCATAGTGTCATAGGTGTAGCATGTATGGCCAATAGACACTAGATTCTTGCGGCCAAAGATCAGAGATTTTTTTGGCATGCTTTCAAGGCACCTCCACTGTCCAGTGGCAGAGTCAAACAGATGGTATTTCGGAATGGGCTTCCATTCAAACACATTCGACACCACAGTAAAAACCCTGAAACTGCGATGCTGGGGGTCAAAATAGAATCCGAAATAGAATGCCCAGGATCCGGGAACAGCAGGAAGGCAGGTGGATTGGCCGGTTGCAGGGTTGACAATAGTAAAGAGACCCCTACCTGTCAAGGTACAAAGGATGCCATTGCTGCATCCCACCCTCATGTCCGGCTTTCTAAGCATCCAAGAAGAGCATGATTCATTATGGGAAAGGTTATGAAGTTGCATGATGTTATCACGTTTGAGGGAGATGGTGAAAATTGGAGATTTTTCGTGGTGGGAAAATGGGAGGAAGATGGCACAAGGTTGAGAGAGAGAATGAGGGTAGAGCGAGTGGGTCCTTGCAAAGTTGGGGGAGGACAAAAGTTCATCCCAAGATCTTGAGACACTCTTGAGACCCAAGATACAAGGGACAGGCAACTTGAGTAGGATTTCTTCTACTAAGTCATTCGGCAAAATGCCTGATAGAGAACCCATCGTGAGAGGGAATGGAAAGCACCAGGTCAAAGAGAGTGGATGAGAGAGAAAATGAAAAGTACTGGTTAGAGAGAGAGAGAAGTACTTGGTTAAATAATGTGGGTTAAAGAAAATGGAGAGGGGTAGGGGTACGTTGGTTAAATAAGTGTAGGGTTAAAGAAAGTGGAGAGGGGGAGGGGAGGGGGAGGGGGGAGGGGAGGGGAGGGGAGGGGGTAGGAGAAGAGAGAAGTGAAG